TTTAGGGTTTAGGGAGGGTTTAGGCTTTCGGGTTCAGGGTTTAAGGATTAGGGTTTAGGGGTTTACGGTTTTGGGTTTTGGGTTTAGGTTAGGGGTTTAGGCTTTAGGGTTTAGAGTTTAGGCTTTAGGGTTTAGCAGGTTTTACGGTTTAAGGGTTTAGGGCTTCCGGTTTAGGGTTTAAGGTTTAGGGCGTAGGGCTTAGGGTTTAGGGGTTTAGGGTTTAGGGGTTCAGGGTTCAGGGTTCAGGGTTTAGGGTTTTTTTGGGGTTCAGGGGTTTGGGGTTTAGGGTTTAGGTTCAGGTCTTACGGTTTCAGGGTTTTAGGGTTTAGGGTTTCCGCTTTAGGGTTTAGGGTTCTGGGTTCAGGTTTTAGGGTTTTAGGGTTTTAGGGTTTAGGGTTTAGGGATTAGGGTTTGGGGTTTTGGGTTTAGGGCTTAGGGCTTTAGGGCTTACGGGTTTAGGGTTTAGGGTTTAGGTTCAGGTTTTGCAGTTTCAGGGTAAAAGGGTTTTGGGTTTCGGGTTTAGGGTTTACAGGTCTTAGCGTTTTAGGGTTTTGAGCTTTTTTGAAGTGCAATGGCTCTAGGGTTCAGGGTTTAGGGTTTAGAGTTTACAGTGTAGAACTTAGGGTTTAGGGTTTAAGGGTTTAGGGTTTAAGGGTTTAGGGTTTCGGGTTTAGGGTTTAGGGATTAGAGTCTAGGGGTTTAGGGTTCAGGGTTTAGGGATTTTTTGGGGTTTAGGGTTTAGGGTTTTGGTTCAGGTTTTACGCTTTCAGGGTCTTTGGCATTTTTTTTGAGATCTTTTCTCCAAGCCCAAAGGTTATGAAGATGCTATTGCAGCACGATCCCTTTTTTTTTAAAGCGCCCCTTTTACCCGCAGGCTGCTGGTAAAGTCCGGTATGGGACGGGCGGTCCTCTGAAATGTTAGGCACTCCCCGTGGAAAACACTGCACCACTGCGCGTCCGACATCCCCCACGTACGTACTGGGATTACTCCTCTTGCCCCGACTCCAGGCTTTGCCTGTCCAGGAACATCTTCTGGGCCTCAAATGCTTCCAGGACATATTTACCATACCTACGCAGCACAACAGCCGACGGCAGTACATTGAGGGACCACTGGTTGTATGGGTCTCGGGTTTAGGGTTGTGGGTTCAGGTTTTAGTTTGAGGTTTCGGGCTTAGGGTTTAGGGTAAACCGGAAAACCTGCACCCTGAACCGTAAGTCCTGGCTGTCCCCATCCTAGCATCCTAAGTCATGCGTGCGGCCTAGCAATTCTGCTTCAAAACACACCTGGGAGCGCACGCTCGACGCATTTGGAGCGCGCACTCGAAACAAATTGGAGCGCACGCTCGATGCTTCCCCCGCTGCTCTGATGTCGCGAACAGACTTGCTTCTACGACACGTCCTGCAAGACCTCTTTGGACTGCAAAGACACAAATGATACGGTCCAACTCTTATAAAAAGCCGCGAAGCAATGTCACAAAAACATGCATCTCAGTCAAAATGAGTAAGGCCAACAGCTTGGCGGCTTATGAAACGATAAAATGCAAACCACCATCGAGTTGCTTCTGTGCAGCTATAGCGACCAAAGTAGCTCAAGTTGAAGCTGGACATGTTTAATGCTCACACCTTTTTTCCTGGGGTCCCGGCCCTACATGCGACTGAAGACTCTCAGGCACAGCCAAAAGCTCAGCCTACGAAACTAGGCTTTGTCTTAGGCTTCCCTCAGCCGCTGGACTGTGGTTCCTCCGGCCTCCGTCTTTCCAGTGCGCCTCAAAGAACCTGTCAAGATTCAGCCCAATCTGCAAAGCCTGACCTAGAATACCGTGACCAAACGGCCTGGTGGCGCGAAAGGCTCTAGGACGAGCGGCGGTTTGTCTGGCGAGGGAAGCAACAGGGCAAAAATATGCTTGTGCAATAAATGATATCTTGAAGTGGTACGACACTCAGACAGTCTTCACCTCCTTCCTCCCTGGCATCTAAAACTACCGCAAGTGATGTCGCTGCCGTGCTTGCAGGCACGTAATACTCTACAGCTGCGCTGCAACGTCATCAGGATCGTTTCTCCCAACCCATGCAGCCCCGCACAAACTTGGCGGCCACCATCGTCATCATCAGCGCCCGGACGCGCCACCAACTTGAAGTGCCGCACGTCCTAGTGCAAGTGTGCCTGCTGCTAGCAAGAGAATACCACGCATGAGTACGGCCCGTCCTCCCCTTTCTTGGCAAAGCGGCGTCGACCCATGGCGACAGAAAGAGTTTGACTGATCTGCCTCCTTATGAAACATGTCCACCTGCCCCTAACAAATGTTCTCCAGTGCTTAGGAGGCATATTCGGGGAATTGGTGACTGAGTCGGTCGAACTCTAGCCTTTAGCAATAGATTCTTATTCTGAAGGTTTAGGATCCAACTCTGAAGACTGGACTTTCTTGCCAACTGTCTTTTTGTGGATCTCTGCACCTCGATGCATTTGTGAGCACTGTAGCTGCGCTTTGACAAAGGCAACCCTCCTGCCTGCAAATCCTGCCGTCGCATGGGTGTTGAACACATGCGAGCCACAGCATGGACGCGTGATGCTGATAACATTTTCGTCCTGCAGCGCTGCAGGTTGCGGTCTGTACAGGTATGAAGTCTTTTTCCATCCGGCCCATCACTCGCAAAGAGCCTTGCAGGTCTGGAGGAGGGCCTCTCAGGAAGGTTTGGTGACGCATCCACTTCCAAACGTCCCCAAACTCGACATTCAAGCATGTGTGCTCACGTAAGAAGAGGCGTGTTGGACAAGAGCTTTGAGTGGCGTTGAGTGACCATCTAAGCAAATGCACTTGCTGGAATGGATCTCAAGCAAGCGCGGTGGCAGTTTTGTCTGTTGCCACCAATGGTTGTAGCTCATTGCTCCCCAACGTATCTGTCCCGCACCTCGTCAATTTCGAATCCCTCCTGCAAGTTTGCAGCTGGAGAGGTAGAGATGGCACCCTCATCTTCCTTCAAGGTCCTGTGGCGTCGTCTTCCGAGCGCCCCATCTCCGCTGGGATGGCAATCGCATGTTCCTGCCAGAGGCCTGGGACGCAGCTAGCAGCTGGTGAAATCACGCAAAAATCAAAGGCACTAGGACATGGTGCCTGAGCAACTTTGGCTTCAGCCTCAACCATCTGCAACAAATCCTTCAACAGTGTGTGACAACGCATGGATGTTTTTTCCTTACCTAAATGCACAGCTTTGACATCCTTTACTCTGTGACTGCCACCTCCCCTGGCACTGAGTGCAAATTTGGGTACAGCTTCGTCAGGAAGATCCAGAAGCGAAGAGGAACAAAGAAGAGATGCACAGGGGGCAAGATCACAGGCTCAAACCAGGATTCTTCCGCAATTGCAAGGGCAAAGGTAACTGCTCAAAAGAGTCCGCACATCGAAGGGAAGAATCCTCATCAGAAACCAGGCGTTCTTTGAAACCCACCGTCACACGATTCATCGGGGGCTTTTCTGAAAACGATGGAAGTGTTCACTTGATTCATATGGACCGTACGACTTTAGGGAGAAGGGATGCAGCAGAAAACCCAAACCTTAAAACACCCAAAGACTGAAACCTGAACCATACTGTAACCCTACACCTTTGCGCCTCTATAGCCGTGACCCCAGGGGCTTCAAAACATTGAAAAAACTGAAAAAATCTGGAAAGCTGTTGAACATTATTGCTCGAATTCAATTGATGAACAGCTTCCGACTCTGGGGGCAACAATCAGAATGCACGAGCACGGTGTTTTGAACGAAGCAAGGAAGCACCAGCACAGAGCAAAACATGGGGAAGCAATGGCAGGCGTGCCAAGTGCGTGCCTCGTTCTTTGATATGTTATCCTCTTGCAAACATTCAGCCCAAAACCCAAAGCAACCCCTGAACGCTAGCCTAGCACTTGAAGCCTGAGCATTTCATGAAGCCTTACAAAAAAAAAAGAAAAAAAATAGATACGGGAATGCATTGGCCAAGCCCGTTACAAGCTGGTAAATCAACGAGCAACTTTCGCCCAGGGGTTCGTACAACATGGCAAAACTCGTGATTTCTGGTGCTGGCGATCTTCTGTTCCCATGGCCACTGCTGCGTCTCTCCGACATCCAGCTTCTACTTTCCAGTGCCTTGAGTGGCTCTTTGCCTTGTGCGATTCCAATGCAGAGGACCGTCCCCGCAGTTCACTATTTGGACTTGGCAGGCTTAGAGGCAAAAAAGGCTTGCCACAGCCAGGCTGAAACATCCAGCAACAGCCGACAAGAAGTGCGCTTGTAAGCATAGGATGCTAGGCAGCTACTCTAGCAAAGCATCGGTACATTTCACACCTCTGGATTTCAGGGCGAGTTGATCAAACACCAGCAGGCGTACAGCTTGACATCAAATGCAGTCTACAAGGTAGAGGAGCAAGGGGCTTGGCGTTGGTGTGCATGTCAGCAATTCTCGAACTGACTTCATAGCTGATGTCTCACGCAGATTGGTGAAAATCCTCTGCCAGGATGTGCCTGCACTTGTCACCCAATTTGGCTTACATACGCTGACAAACTTGCAGTTTAGGTGTAGAGTTTGGTTTTTCAGCGGTTAGAGGGCCGGAGATGGGTGTAGAGTGCAGCGTTGGGGTCCAGGGTTTTCGTTTACACCTGTAGCGTTGAGGTTTCAGGTGGCTCGAGACTTGGCCAAGGTTCCAGGTTCAGGGGCTTAGCTGGCTTAAGGATGACGACAGCAGTCAATTAGTCCGCCAAAAATTTGGCCTGCAAGGATGGATGGATGGACGGACTGCGGCTGGGGTGTGACAGCCATGGGTCACGCGTTATCCCTCCCCGCCCTCTGAGCATCGTTTCTCCCAGAGAAAGGTGCGAAGCAAGGCCGCTCACACAGACTCATCTTCACCATGACCCGCGTCCCAGCTTCGAAAAATTATCTTCTCAAGCCAGACGGTCCTGGGTCCTGGAAGGGTTCGCCACCACTTCCTGACTGTAGACCAGTACACCCCAATCATGCGGAAACACCTGACTCCCACTCGCCATCCTTCATATTCACCCTCGCATGCGTCACAGCTATACCCTCACAGCGGTGCCGGCCAACACCCCAGCGACCAAATCATTACAGTCTCAGCTGGAAAAAGTGACAGGAATGGCGGATTTGGGGGTTCAAAGAATATTGAACAGGAAATGTTTGGTGGCGTGGGGTTGTTTAGCTATGAGGGATTGAGCATTGGGGTTCAGGGTTTGTGCTGTTGTACATTTACTCGCAAGGCCAGGGAAAGTGAGCTAGGTGAAGCACTTTATCCTCCATATTAGATTGCCCGGCTTCATTTTGAGCGCGGAACCCATTACTTGTCCCGTCGCAAAGGCACGACAGCAGAAGGATGGATGCAATACTTTCTCCAGCAAGATCATGCTCCCGGTTCCTTCACCCCCGTTTCCCTGATTCCTGCGCCAGGTCTTAGCATGACACACATTGTTGCGTCATTTGCAGGGTTTGTCTCCCTGGTTTCCCCTGTCCTCCACCCTGTCGAGGAAGGCAGCTCGCCCACCTGGCAGCTGAGACGCAGCGCAAAACCACCAGCTGGATTCAGGGCTTGGATTCGAGGGGCCTGTGCATAGGATAATCGAAAAGAAGAGAATCTGCTCTAGCATTTAGAGTTCAGATGGGCTTATGGTGGGGCCATGAAGCACCATGCTGTGCCTGATCTCGAGCAGATCTCCGGATCTATCGCCAAGATGAGCTCTCCTCAGCAAAGGGACCCCAGGCAAATGGGCATGTCAGCACCATCACCATCCTACTACAACTGAGGTAGCCACCAAGCCTCTCCTTTCGCTTAACCCCAGAAGAAGAAAACTGCTGGAAAGCTTGTTCGCCTTTCTGTCACAGTCGTTGCATTTTAGCTGCTGCAAGTGGTCGTTTTGCGTTCCCACCGCTTTGCAATTCAAACCACGAAAGCCTGTGAAGTAACTTTTCATTAGCATTTTTTAAGAACGCCCAGGTGGAGGACGCTGGGGAGGGGGAAGCAAGCGGCAGAAGACCAAGGATGTTCTGCAGCCTTTGAAGGTGGAATTCATGTGAAATTGGATTTGGACTAGTGGAGAACTAACGGGAAACGGACTGCAAAAAGGAATGGGTGTTTTTTCTGCTTAGGTTTAGGGGTTCCTCGAAGAGATCTGAGAGTAATGCGCGCACTCCTGAAGAACAGGGTGTGCCGTTGCGCCTGGCAGAGCAGGCGAGCGAGCGCAAGCGCGAGCGCGAGAGCGAGAGCGAGGGAGGGGGCGAGAGAGGGAGAGGGGGGGGTTTAGGGCTTCTAAGTCTGTCGGTGTATGACTCACCTGGAACCTGGCGTTTCCGGGTCTGCATTTCGGCTCCCAAGAAACGGTCTGTCGGACAATGGCATCCGTTCTAACACCAAAGAACCCTAAGCAAAAGTCGATACTGCCAATAGCACTACATGAGAAAACAACAAAAAAGCCATCTTGATTCCATCAATTTCTGTTGCGGGGATTCCCGCTCTGTCCAGGTTGTAAGTACTCTTCCTAGGTCTTGCGGACTGCTCTTTGAGCTAACATTTCCACCATGCAAAGGACTCATGGACAAGCCGCCGCATGCAACAGGCTCAAAGCTCACAGGCCACATGACAAAACCGCAGCCCATCCGTTAAGCACGGTTCCGTGTTGCGTGGGACCGCTGTCCGATTCGCCACGGGCTTCGTAAGCAAATGCATCGCCTGCTGGTCTGGTGTACAGGAAGCATCTTTGAAACTCAAACTCTGCCCAGCCTGTGAAACTTGCCGCCAGCAGCTCAACCATCAAGGCCAAGCAGGTGCCCTACGCGGTCAGAGCATTACCCATTCAGCGGTAAGCGATTGCAGGCCTTGTGCCCGGCAAATGGCAGCTGGGCTCCTTTAAGACCAGCAGCAGCATCTGTCCTCAAAGCAAACGCCACCCATCTCCGCCCTCCGCCCATCAGAAGTATGCAGAAGTCCAGGATCGCGGCGTGGGCTGTCCATGCTCATCAATGGCAGCGTCTGCAGGGATGGCTCTGCCTTAATCAAGCAATTACTCGAAAGCACCTTTGAAAGCACCGCAGCACCGCCCCACCGTCGATGGATGCCAGCGTCATGTCCTTGGCTCTTTGCCGTGTGAAGGCAGCAGCATGCAGCAAATGCAAGACAATGCAAAGTCTGCTCAGCCGTCCCATCCCCATCTCTTTGGAATACTCCGAATGTACAAGATTTGCTTTTGGACGAAACCCTCCGAACCTCAGTCAAACACAGCTGTTGCTTCAGATTTGAGTGAAAGTCCTAAATCTCCAACCTTAGGCTCGTTAATCGCCCACCCTCCATTCATGAAGTCTATTGTTCAGAAAAGCGTTATTCGACAAGATAGCTTTGACCAGCCATGTTGCTGAGGCAGAGCTGGACAAGAGATTGCAGGGGAGGGCACAGCATTGACGTTCGTGACTCTGGCAGATTCATGTCGTTGCGAGAGCTTATGTTTTCTGAATAAAGGTCGGTCTACCGTGGCGTGCAGGCGCAACGCCAGATTTTGCAATGGCAGAGGACTTTTCAACCTTGAAAAGCCAGGCCAGGGCATGAGACATGGAAACCTCCGAGAGACGTGGAGAGTCGGTCAAAGCAACGTCCGCTCGTGCAACAACACATACAGAGAGCCAGTAACCTGCACAACTCAATCTGCAAAAATGATTCAAACCAAGGATGAACATCACCACTGCTGCAGTTGGGCACAGGGAACGGATGGCTCTGCAAAACATCCAAAACAAAGTCGTCATGCACCCAGACAAAACTCAACAAAAAGCCAGAGAGCGGCAGGACGGGTGTCAGCAGACTGAAAAGCTTGCACTTTGAAGTTAAAACCGGCTTCAACGCGGCTGGCCAGCTGTTCAGTGGCCAATTTCTGGACGCGTTGACCTGTTGGATATACTGATATAGTCGTCATGCGTTCGATTTCTATGGCATCCTGTGGCTGGAGCAGCTGTTTCAACCTGCAGTCGAGCACAGAGTGTATCGGAGCGTGTTCCATCGAGGCCTTGGAAAGAACTCAGCGTGCAAATTGGTGGAAAAAAGGCTCCTTACGGAGGAGCACCAGCAAGGACGTTCTACAACCGCCGTATCAATGCAAGCAGTGTATGCTGCTTCAAGGGGTTGAGGAAGCTTGCAGTCTAGTTCCTGCGCAAATACTCTTCGAGGTTGACCATTTTTGGGCCGTTGACCGAGTTTGTGCAAGCAACGCACTCTGACTCGGCTCAGACTGGCCATGACATCCCACAGTGATGCAAGCATTAGGAACACCATTTGCAAGAAGCATGTCTATGAATATTTGAAGCAACTAGCCGCTAGCCACATTCCACCGAGAAGCTCCACGCGCCATGACTGATGAAGCTTGATCGAACCTAGGCAGCTCTTGCCGATACATCACCTCAGACAAACAATTCCAGTCATCCGAGCCCGGCACACAAATGGTTGCTCTGAAGTCCCATCCTCTGAGCGCCGAGGGCAGGCAAACGCCTGCCGCAAAAGGAAAGTCACGGATGCTTTATGACTCAACACTTCTGCACTAGAAGCGATTTGAAAATCCAACCTGAAACCAAGGGCAACAAACCTCCAATCCCTCTATAGGGGATCGTTTTTGAAATTGCCAGTCTTTTTGTTCACCTTGGATCTAGATTCACCTTGGCTGTGACTAACTTCGGAAATCTTCTCGCTGACTTTTGACATGGGTTACTTTGACACGTTTCTTCATTTTTGTGACCTTGACGAGCTTCCTCCTTCTTGTCACATAGCCTGCTTCGTCCCATAGTGTTGCCTTCTTGTCCCGGTCCTGTCCTCTTCTGTCCCCTGTCTTGTCCACTGTCTTGCCGTCGTCTTGGTCCCCTTCTTGTCCGTGTCCTGTCCCCTTACAATTGGGAGACGCTGGAAATGCCAACCACGCCAACTCCGATAAAAATGCACACACGACCACCACCACAGTCATATGGCAATCGCCGATCCAAACCATTCGCAGACAAATGGACAAAGATATAAGCTGCACAGGTTGTACTGATCCTGCTCACTGCTCGTACAACTGCAGCGCACTTGCATGCTTTCTGCGGAGCACATCCAGGTCTCGCGGAATGAGTCTCTGCAACGCAACCGGGGCATCACATCATCCATCATAGCACGTCCCATCGGACGAATCCATAGGACCATAGGCTCCTGGAATTCAAGAACCTTCTCCCAGGTTGGGGCGGGGGGGCAACAAACAAAACTGGGACGCGCCCCGCCCTCTCACATCAAAACACAGCCCAACACACACAGCAAGCACTCAGGAAGCTCATTGCTCACGAGTGGTCATTTACAGAACCTCGGCCAACTCTGTAAGAAGCCACTGAACAAGAAAGACTACTCGTAAACTGCTGGCAAATCCTTCTTGTCCCCTTCAGTTCCCGTCTTGTCCCTGTCTAGTCCCTGACCTTCTTGTTCCCGCTGCATCCCTCCTGGAGTAAGCTCATAGTAAGCTCCCTGCGCCAGAATTTCGAGAGTTTCTGCATCAACCACTGACTCATGCAAAACCATGTTCATATCCATTATTCGTTCCAAGAGAGCCCACAAAAACACAAAGCATAGTCTATATATGTATACAGAGAAAGGCAACGCCCACAACCTTGTCATTCCTGTTTGTCACTTTTAAGACTCTTTCAAGATGACAAGCAACATCCATAGCGGAAGAATTGAATTCAGAAAGTTTCCCGCACGGGAACTTCCAGTTAAATTTGCGGAAACGATTTCATGGCGGAAGCTAAAAACCAGGTGAATGACTGTCGTTTGCCCGTGCCCAGCGGAAGCGCAACCCCAAACCCTCAAATGTTTATGCAGGCAGTGTGTTGTCTACGACACCCGCACAAGCGTTTTTCTGTGACGCAAACTGCTCAGGTGGTGTTGAGTGCCAATACTTCTCCCATCGCAGGACCCTAAGACAAACCAAGCCCTCAAAAAGAAACTAAAACCCAAAGCCTCAAACCCTGCAACGCCCGAAGTTGCACAGCCTAAGCCACAAACACTATGAGTGGATAACATGCTAGTCAAAACGTGCTGACTGCGTCCCTGCCCTTTATACACGCCGCCCGTCGCTTGTACCGATTGAGTGATCCAGTGAATGATTCGCACTAATGCAGTGTTCAGCTTCTAGACCTTGCTTTGGAAAGCTTGATGAACCTGATCACTCTTTAAGGAAGTCATTCGAATTGTCCAATTCAAGTCATGGACAGTGCTAAAAGCCACTGCTTGCGCGTCTCGGCCTGCGCCAGTGGAAGCTGTGGGCGTGTGGGCATATTCGGAGCTGCGCTGTAAGCGTAGTTTCTGGGCATTGCTCATCGTCACTGATCCCTTTGAAACTTCCACTACTCAACGCAATATTCGTCTTCACCAGACTGCAAATTGAGATGCAGAAAAGCAATTTTCAGCGACCGACATCTTGGCTCTGTTGGAAAAACACTCTTGCAGGTAACCTTTGCAAACATGTACCCCCAGGAGGACCAAGTGACCCAACGGAAACCAAGTCAAACCCAGCCGTGGCCAAACCTTTCAAAGTTGACCCCACGCCCATTACCATGAGCATTCTTCTCACAAGAAACAGGAGAACCCGAAGGTTTTTCAAAAAACGAGCACTCATGTTTGAAAGCAATGGGAAATTCTGAGAACAACTTCTATGTCGTCTGAGCATAAAGCAATGATATCTGCAACCTCATTTTCCGTTTGGACGCAAGAGAAACAGAGACCAACCCAGATCCACTAAGAAACTCAACTGTCCGGGCTGCCACCCAGAGGGGAGAGGGGGAGTCGCAATGAAAGAAGGGAGCCAACGACATCCGAACGAGGACATATGGGTGGTTCTCAAAATTATGGTCCCTTTTTGGGTCCCTATTATAATACGGCCCCTAATATTAGGGTACCCAAAAGGGGACCATAATTTTGACAACCCTCCATATGTTTATGTAAAGGGACGTCAAGGGAGCCAACTTTCTGGACCCTCAGCCAACCTAACTGAAGCTGGATCCCATGAAACCAAGACGGAAGCCAGCTTTCTGGTGTTGTTGCCAACCCAAGCAAATCTCTGGACCCATGGCTCGCTGCTAAACCAGGATGCAAAACCTGGACATAAAAACTTTAGGGAGCCATCAAGCGAGCCAACTGCCTGAGGATCGCGGGAAGGGAGCCATGAAGGGAGCCAAACATGCGGCCGCACGGCCCACGAATCAGCAGCTGTGGTTCAGACTTGTTTCTCAGAAGTGAACCGCAAACCTCATCGTTTGGAGAATGCAAGCCATACACGGTCGGAAGAAAGACCCCCAAGACCCAAGGCCGAAAGCAAGGCCCTGGCAAGGCGCAGAAAAGGGCACTTGAGAAGCCGAGATCACATTTTTGACCTCCGCTGGCCAACGAATGCCCTGGATCAGGTTGACCAGGCGCCCAAGCTAGGTAAAGCTGAGTCAAGATCTGGCACCCGGCTATTATCCAGCGATCGAAGGGGCTGTTGCGAGGGTCCCAAGTGTTGCATTTACGTGTCCATCCAGCCAAGCTGATTCCCCTTTCTCAGAACTCAAAGCTTTTCCTCCTTAACAAGTCAAATAAGACACGATCGCTCCGCAAGTGCACTTTCTCAGAAAGCTGGAGACACTGCATACAACTTTGATGGCATACTTAAATCGCAGGGCCCACCATGGGATTTGTACCATAAAGAGGTTGATGTCCACCTGGCCAGTGGGCCACGAAGGCCTCCAACGCTTCAACTGCCCCATCTTAAATGAACTTCAAGCTGCTCTGACTTTGTCCGGACCTTGGAGTTGAGGAAGGCCATTGCCACAAGCCCGTGCCTCCAGTCCAGTCAGTACTAACTACTTCATGTTTTCACGTATGGCACCAGCGGCCACTAGCTGCATGCAACATTATCCTGCAGAATCTGAGAACCTTGCCGAGCTGCTAGGGGCTCGACATCTTGCCAGAGCCTCTGCACGCACGCTGCATGTCTATCAGGATAAGAAGCCGAACAACAAAAAAATACAGTGAGCGCACGCAGCGAAGTGGTGGGCGCGAGAAATCAGAAGCACTGCAACTCCAGTTGTCTTAGCCTGGCAACAGCTGGTCCAGAAGGGCAGCTGCACAGCTCAAACCCCAAACGTGCCTTCTCTGCGAGCATCGAGTGTCCAGCCAAACACCTCGAATCGAGATCTGAGAAACGTCCATCAGGCACATCGAATCATGAGGCCCCGACGCCGGAGTTGAGAAGCCTCCCCTGCTTGCAACACTGCTCAGCAGCTTATGTACAAAATGCATCCAGAAAGAGGAACCAAAAGCGTGTTGGATCAAGACGGAGCACTGTGCCTGGCATCCGCCAGTGCACAGGAAGGAGCTATACTTCTGACCTGCGCAGATAAGGAAGCAGTCTCCCCATCTGTCTTTCAATCAGGCAGCACACCTCCGGCAGCACATCCCCTCTCACCTTGCGGGCAGCAGCAAGACTGTTGCCGAAACCTACTTTAAGTTGGGAATGCGAGCCCTGCCTTACCACTCCGGAGAGAGGAGCAATAGCCTGGAAGTCTGAAAAGGCCATGAGATTTGCACCTCAGTCGTTTCGCTTTGCCTGCTCGAAGCATGAAGGAGTCGGTCCGTTTGTGGACTTGAGCTCTTGGCTCGTCTTGCTCTGCACTGGTGATGCTGGCCTACCATATGCAGCAAAGCTAGATTGATGATGCGCAAGTCGGACTGGAAGCACCGCACTGGAAGCGTCTGCAGGAAGTCTTTTGCAAAACGATAGGGAATCTTGCCAGCAAGCCCGGCCATGACGGATGCATCACGCGTAGCGCTGCATGAAGTCAGTGTGAAACTGGGCAAAGGAGCCCATGGCCCTCTGCATCTTATCCAGTGTGGGCAGAAAAGTTGTTCGAAAGTGGAAAGTGCCCTCTACTTGCCTGAAACCAGAGCCAGGAACGACCACCAAACCGGTCTTCTCCAGAGCCTGCATGCAGTAAAACTCGTCCGGGGCAATGCCCTGAGCTTCCGCTGCTTCAATGGCAGCTTTTGGAAGTTTGACCTGAGGAAATGCATACATGGCTCCTCCGATCTCTTGCAGTGAGATACCTGGAAGCGCACTCAGGGTCTTCCGCAAGATCTCCGCCTTGTTCCTCAAGGAGTCCAGCACTGCCTTCTTTTCGTCCTCATACACGGCTTCTGCATCAGCGCAAGGTGGCCTCACCATCAAGCCAACAGAAAGTTGTCCGATGGTATTGGAGCAAAGCTCAATGGATTTTAGCTTGACGAACTGCTCCATGACCTCCGGGTCAAAGTTCTCAAAAATGCAGTAGCCTCCTCGAACGCCGCACTCTCCAAGAAATCCCTTGGACAAGGAGTGGAACGATGCTATCTCCAAGTCAAGCTTTTTCTCGTTGACGATGCTGGACATGGACTTGAAAGGATGAGCTGTCAGGACGTTCTCCTGATAAACCTCGTCTGCTAGCAACACTAAGCCTTTCTCATGTGCAAAACTAACCACTTTCTCAAGAGTCTCTGCAGTAAGATTGTTGCCAGATGGATTTCCTGGATTGATAACAACCAGTGCACGAACGACAACTCCACGTTTTGTGGCTTCCTCGTACGCGGCAGTCAGGGCTGGGACGCTGACTGCCCACCTATTGTCTTCGTCCAGGTAGTATCCGACAAGTTCACAGTCCATCAGAGTTGATAAAGCTGAATATAAGGGGTACTGAGGTATGGGTGCCATGACCCCCACCCTTCCGCCGAGGTGTGTTGCTGCCAATGCAGACATGACGAGTCTCACCCCTTCGCTGGCTCCATTGGTAAGGAATACCTGACTGATGTCAGGCCGATTGCCGTCCCGACGTGCTATAAAGTCGCAAACTTCTTCTCTGATGAACTGGAAGCCTACAGAATCTGTGTAGGCTCCAACCTTAGCGCTTTTCGAAGAATACTCACGTGCACGTGCTGCTGCCTCTTCTGATATAAGGTTCAGCTTGACGAGCTCATCCGCCTTCTCCAGCAGGCGTGGCGCGGTCAACAATGCGAGCACCTCCCTGTTGAACGTCAGTGGAATCTGACCAACCTGCTGAGGATTGCCTATGTTGCAATGAACTAGTTCTGTAAAAGGGTACTTGGCACCACTTGCCAGCTCCTTTTGGATGGCAGCAGCCCTTGTGGGCAATCTTCCACGGACCGCATACTCAGCCTCCAGGACTTTCTGGTTGATGGTGGCTCGTGTTAGGCACTTGAATCTCAGGGCGCCCTGCCAAAGGCTTGGCCGACTTACAGCAGACCCTAGAGCCCTCCGTGTCTGAGATGCCATGGTGGAACCTGAATGTCGATTTTGAGCCTCCTGCAGCCGAGAATGTGATGACTTGCAACTAGCTTCCTTGCTCAAAATACAGAACCTGCTTGCTATAACGCCAAGCTAAAATTGAGGAGAGCAAACTGGACTTGAGGACTGACGACAACAACAACTAAGTAGTCAAGTGGCAAAGGAAGAATCGGGCGATGAGGGGTGAGGCAGGGTGAAAGGGCGAAAGGATGGTGCAGCCAGTGGATCCAAGGACACTATCTCAGGCGCCCACCGCAATTGCAGCGACAGCCGTCTCATTCAGCCCAGCATGCTGCAATGCCTTCACTGCTGCATAATCTCTAGGCTTGAGGCCCACCATGTGGAGCATTTAGAATGCATTCACTTGCACAAAGCAGGGCGCGGCCTTGCGGCAAATCGTCTCGCACTCATGCCTCGAGATTCATGACACTGCCGTGAGTGAATACGTCCAGAAACTAAGCCGACTGCAAGGAGATCCTCGCTTTGCCCATCGCATTGAGGTGGCAAAATGTCTCAGGATGTGAGCTGGCAAAATGGGTGGCAGGTGTTCGCTCCGCTTGGGTGCTTGCGGGCTGCACTTGTTAGAAACAACTTGTTAGCAAACGGCTGCGGTATTAGATTCTTCAGAGGCCTCAACTGAGTAGCAAAGCTTCCAATGTGACAGAGCTCCAGACTTTTGGCTCCACATCGCAGGACGTTGCCTTTAGCAAAGGTCAGCACAACCTCGTCCTGATTGTTGGTGGTTCTGCTTCCATACACAACGCTTTGCATGAATCATGACTCGCTAATAAAAAATCAACAGCAAATCTGTGTTGTGCAAATATTGCACGGCCAAGACCATGAAATGGCTTCCGTGTTGACAATTTAATTTACATGAAAAGTCTGACCGCTCGTCACATCCTGCATGCATCCTGCTGTGGCTAGGGACAGACTCTCGGCTCAGGCCCAATTCTGCTGGCGTCTTCCCGATGTCACGCTGGCAAGGAGGCACTCTTCTGCATACCCGGCCTTGTTCCACGGGTCATCAGAAAAATGACTTGTGATCTTTGCTCACCACTGTAGTTCCTGGCCCGCTGGCTCCAGATACTGCCAGAGATTCTGCCTTTCCGCGCCGACAGGTACCACAACAGTGTAAGCCACAAGTTGATGCTCAGAATCACAAAGCATACTTCAAAGACTCGACCGGGTGACGCCAAAGCGGCCGAAGTCAAATCGGGGGAAACGTTTCACATGTCTCCTGTCAAATGTTAGACCAAGCATCCACGACTCAACACCCTCTAAGCCGTCTGAGCTCCGAAGGAGAACTGCAAACTGCAAACAAATACTCGAATCTGACAATCACTTTACTTCACGCGCGTCCTTTCCCCTCCACTCAGCGTTGATGCTGACACTAAGCTGGTTGAAGCCGGGCTAAATAAGGTTGCCTGAACGAGTTGGCACTAAACGGCACCAGCACACTGACGTGTAAGACTGGGCCATGAGCTGTGGATTCTGGAGAGGCTGTGGACATGAAGGACAAATGCTGCCTCGTGCACTGCACGTACCGTCACCAAACTAGAGGCACTTATTCAGTATCCCAAGGAATCCGCGGGCGCTTGGCTCTCCAGCCCTGGCCAAATCATGCTGGGAGCTTTTTAGCGCAATGCAGCACGGGTACTCAACGCTGGCCTTTGGCGTGCCGGTTACCTCTGACAGAGCTTGCGTCTAAGATTCGGGTCTAGGAACTGGTCACACACACCTCGCGAGACCTCGAATGTGCCTCAGCCTGTTCAGGTCAGATATGGTCAAATATACTACAGGATGCGTCAGGCTGCAGCTTGGCCTCGTCCGCAAAGGAAGTCAGCCGCTTCACAACATCCTGAGCCAGTTCTTGATCCAGCTTTCAGGTGGTCAAAGACCAAATTGCCTGGCGTCGCTGCTCACGGCGTCTCGCTTCCCTCCTGCCCGCCAAGCCTGGCAGTCCAACGGCAACACATTGACCCTGCAGGAGCGTTCTGAACAGGGCTGGTTAGACGATTCATCATTCGACGCAAAGCCTTAAATTCCTCCGCCCAAGCAGTGTTTGCATGGGGATTAGGAAGACGTGCACTTGGATATCGAACGATACGTAGCTGCAAAACTGCCGAAGGTCCTTTTTCACCTCGATCAACTTTGCGACGCGAACATTGCGATCATGAATGCGTGCCTGCACAGAGCGAAAATCCACCATTTCAAGCAGAACAAGCAATTGCACTTTCACGGAATCCTGCGCGTTCTTCTGCTTGTTGATGATCGCGATCTGCAACAAAAGACTTCAACAATCAGCATGAAAGGGACAGGGATAGACTGCAACCATGAAAAGGATTGAAAGCACCTTGGAGGCGTCGCTTGCTTTGCTTGCCATGGCATGTCCTCTGAGCCACCGCGTTCTGCGCTCGATCCACTGCCTAACACAGCTTCTCCTACTGCGCAATTGGCAGCACCTGCGGCCCGCCTTGAGAACTTTACTTTGGCCATGTCTCGCATACGTCCAACACGCAACTTCACCTCCTGACAAGTAGGAACATGTTTCGCCGTCTGAGCAAACCAGGACCCTGAGCTTTGTACCACATCTCGCTCGGCCAACTTGACTGTTGCCTCCATGCTAACAGCCAGGAACAACGACCGAACGCAGGCACCTTTCCCATCAGTTGCAAGTTGGTGCAAAGATCTGCCCGCCTCGTAGCGAGCATCCTCGGCACGAATCTGTCCCTTGTGGACATCCTGCATCAAACTCAGATGCTTGATAATCAATGAACAAAGCCCCTGAAAAAAACACCTCACGACGGTGATGCCAGGAATCGCAACCTTGGAGAAAATTCGACCGAAGCTTTGAAGGTCCCCAACATCTCAATTCTACACAGCTTCAATGTGAAACTTGTGATCAATCAAATTGGGGAACTATTCAGGAGGGGACTAGCTCGAACATCTCGAGCTTTGTTTCCAAGACTTCGGCGTCTTGAAAAAGCCAGGTATCTGTTCTAAATTCGCATGAAAGACTCAGAGCAGATTGTGCTCATATGTCCTACATTCTAGCTTACAGTGTTGCCGGACATTGGAGCCGTGCAAACCTGCCCTGCCATCCCTGTGAAACAGGCGTCGGGAATCTTTGCGATACTGTTGCACATGCTGCTTTGCCAGCGATGTGTCTGCGTGCAACACAGCTTGACTTGTACCTGAGGGCCACACGGCGGTAGGCATTGGCGAAGTTTGTCTCCTTTCGCGCTTTCGACATTGAGCGGATACAGTTCCACGCGAGTTGAGAGGAGCTCCGGTCCTGTGCATGGTTCTGCCATGGTCCGCGGCTCTCCTTGCTGGCTTGTAAACAACATCAAAGCAGCCAACGCAATGCAGGCACGCCTGACTACATGCTTCTCGATGACCCCGCCATGAGTTGACCTCATATTACGCGAGTCCAAAAAAAGACTTTCTTGTTGCATGAAGCAACGATTGCCTCCTGAATGTGATGGTGAACACGCTTCTTCTGCGCATCTGCCACCGCAACCAAAGACCTTATAGTCGGGCCCTCCGAGCAAACTCTTGTGAGGTTGCCACCACGCAAAGCTCGCAGCTCAGCATCGGCAACGACCTGGGCAATTTCTGAACTCACAATGGCTTGCTGCAAAACATTGCACACAGTTGATCCCATCCAGAACGCACAGTTCTGCAAAAATGCTGTCCAACTTACAAATGTTTCTATTTTTTCCGATGCGACTTTGTAAACTCCCCAACATTCTGGTCTTTGCGTTGCTTCTTCGTTTGGCTCCCTCTTCCTTCCCACCGATTGCCCGCTTGCTACACTTCCTTTGCTGAGGTGTCGTAGCGGCTTTGACTTGATTCCGGGTCACTTAGCCAATTTGGATCCCGCACCATTTCGGGTCACTTAGCAAATATTTTGCGGGTACTTGGGCAATTCAGGGTTCAGGATTCTGTGACAACCTGAATGGGTCTTGGGCCTAGGGTTTAGTGGTGTTGGATCTAGGGTTTAAGGTTTAAGCATTTTGGATTTAGGGTTTGATGTTTTTTTTTGATTTTTTTGCAGCCACGGGCTTAGGGGTTTGGGATTTTGGGTTTAGGGTTGAGAGGTTTGGGATTTAGAGTTCAGGGTCTAGGGGTTTTGGGGTTTTGGGTTTTGGATTTAGGGTTTAGGGGTCTTGTGGTTTTGGGGTTACGGTTTAGGGTTTAGGGGTTTTGGATTTTGGGTTTAGGGTTTAGGCGTTTTGGGGTTTTGGGTTTAGTGATTCGGGGTTTTGCGGTTTTGGATTTAGGGTCTGGGTTAAGAGTTGAGAGGTTTTGGATTTTGGGTTTAAGGTTTGACGATTTTGGATTTACCGTTTAGGGCTTAGGGATTTTGGATTTGGGTTTAGGGTTGATAGGTTTCGCGTTTAGGTTTAGGGTTTAATTGTTTTGGGGGTTTGGGATTTAGCGTTTAAGGTTTGAGGATTTTGGATTTAGGGTCTAGGGCTTAGGGGTTTTGGATTTTGGGTTTAGGGTTGAGAGGTTTGGGATTTAGGGTTTAGGGTTGAGAGGTTTTGGGTTTTGGGGTTAGGGTTTAGGGTTTAGGGGTTTTGGATTTAGGGTTTAGGGCTGGGAGGTTTGGGATTTAGGGTTTAGGGATTTAGGGGCTTTGGATTTAGGGTTATGGGGTTTTTGGGTTAGAGTTTAGGGTTTAAGGTTTAGGCGTTTTGGGGTTTTGGGTTTTGGATTTAGGGCTTAAGGCTTGAGGATTTTGGATTTGGGTTTTAGGGTTTAGGGGTCTTGGATATTGGGTTTAGGGTTGACAGGTTTGGGATTTAGGGTTTAGGATTTAGATTTTAGGGTTGATAGGTTTCGGATTTAGTGTTTAGGGTGTAGTTGTTTCGGGTTTTGGATTTAGGGTTTAAGGTTTGAGGGTTTTGGATTTAGGGTTTAGGGTTTAGGGTTTAGGGATTTTGGATTTTTTGCTTAGGGTTGAAAGGTTTGGGATTTAGGGTTTAGGGTTTAGGGTTTAGGGCTGTTGGGTTTTGGGGCTAGGGTTTAGGGTTTAGGGGTTTTGAATTTAAGGTTTAGGGTTGAGAGGTTTGGAATATTGGGTTTAAGGATTTTGGATTTTGGGTTTAGGGTTGAGAGGTTTGGGATTTAGGGTTTAGGGTTGAGAGGTTTGGATTTTTGGGTTTAGGGATTTTGGATTTTGGGTTTAGGGTTGAGGAGTTTGGGATTTAGGGTTTAGGGTTTAAGGATTTTGGATTTAGGGTTTAGGGTTTAGGCTCTTTTTTTTTGTCGGACTGCAGAAAACTCCCGGAGATGCAACACTGCATGGCCCTGTACGCAGCCTCTGCAAACAGCCAGCACCCTCACTCATAGCAGCAAAATGCCACTGAGCTGTTGGCGGACAACACAATCCTCTTTACCTTAGTCAAGTCCTCAGCAGTGCACAGCAGACCCTGACGCTTACAGTCACGTCCCCCTGCGCAACTCACTTCGGACAAAGCTCACCCCTACAGCAGCCAACCTCGCAAATTAGTTTGCACTAGGCCATCAGAAGAGCTCGTCGCATGATTATCAGCACTGGACAGGCCGCCCTCACCATCGAGCTCGGCAGCGCCAGCCGCAACGCCAGGCATCCACAGAGCCACTCGGCACATCTGGCCCTTCCAGCTCACACACATCCAGTTGGGTGCTCGAGGGTATATTCCAGCCACCACAGTGATGGAAGGATAGGCGACACCACCTGATGACTGCGAATCCTCTGAGTGCTCCACCAAGCCAGCCACATGTCTACCCATCGCACCGCCACTTGGCAAGCTCTCCATCTCCCTGATTTGGCTGTCAATTTCAATGGTGGCATCCGGCTTCAACACAATGTCGGGCCACCTCCCTGTCTGCCCTCCCGAGTCCACCGCGCTCTCAGTCTCAGGCCTGACACTCGCCCCTCCCTGCGCAGACTACCACGCCGTCGGTGATGATCCACTGATCGAAGGTTCCTCTGCCCAGTTCTGATCCCATGAACCATTCCATCTCGGACTCGTCGAGTACCCGTTGCGGCTGGCTAGGTGGTTCCACCTCCTCCACGATCTCAGCTCTCGCCTCCCTGGCCGCTTCCCTCAGTGCACTTGTTTCTGGGTCATCATGGTAGGATTGCACTGACTCGCCCTCCTGCACCACCATGGGGAAAGTTTCCTGCCTAACCACTCTGCCATCCTCAGCTTCCACTTGGACATGTATCCTGAACCTTTTTCCTGGCGGCCCAGTTGAGAAATTCATCGCCTCCCTCATGACAGCGTCCTCGGACTCTCTCAAGATGGCGGCCCTGTACTGCTGCCATCGGAGTTCATCCGCTCTCTGCTCGGCCTCGGCAGCTTCGCGCTCATCCTCTTCATGGGCAGCCAGCTCCGCCGCCTCGAGCTCTGTGAGTGGCCTCGCGGTGGCATCTGCAAGTCTAGCCATCGGCACCCTGGTTCCATTCGCAATGATGTCCTGGCTGTCTTCGATCTCCATCACTGACGAGGACGCTCCTGCGTACTCGGCCTCGGCCTCTTCCGACTGTTTCTCCCCACTCGCCTGGGCCGCACCTGCCTTGTCTGCAGTCTTGTCCAGCAGCATCGGCCTTATCGCTTCCCACTGCTCCAGGCACCATTGGCATTGCTCCTCATCCATGTTCGCGTCAACTTCATGCTCCATGTCAAACGTCGCTAGCACTGCCTGGAGCCTGTCCATCCGCTCAATGACCACTGCCGTCACGTCGTCGCCAATCCCTCAACATGTCCAAGAGGAATTTCGACATCTTGTCTGCCTGGCGGGGCTCTCTCTTCTCCAAGTTTCCGAACAACACAGCCACGGCCCTGCTGAATTTGTCCATGCTCCCTGTCTGCATCATGGAGGCTCCATCTTCATCTACCTCTTCCGTCTGCGAAACCTCAATGCCATGCTTCGTACCCAGCCTTTGCACTGCACCAAGCTGGTCGCGTCACCTTCCGGCAGGAGTGCCATGGCAAGCAATCGCAGGACCTCTGCCATGAAGATGCCCAGGAATCTCACCAATCCAAGATACAGCTGGTTTCTTTCCTGCTCATTCATGTGGTGGATCCTGTCAATGGCATTCTCCAAGATGGGATCCATCAATCCCACTAGCTCTGCCCACGTACGTGTGGTGTCATCGCAAGGAGGCAGTCGTCCACCTGAGCCTCGCGAGACTGCTCCGAGGCAGGCGCCCCTTTCCCTTTCTGCGGCATGATCATCTGCGGCGTGCCCGTCGGTAAGGCCCTGCTAGGAGCGGCCTGGCTTACCGCCCGAAAGGTCGACATCCCTTTCCCATCCTTCCCTTTCTGTGTCTTCGGCGCCATTGCCGTGGTTGTGCTGCCGCTGGCGGATGTTGGGGCAGTGGTTGCCGGAGCGGATAGTGAATGGGCGTGGTTTTGCCAAGAGTAGCAAGCTAGAACTGAATTGATCAAGGCATTTTGGGATTTTGGATTTAGGGTTTATGGCTTGAGGATTTTGGAGTTAGGGTTGAGGAGTTTGGATTTAAGATTAAGGGTTTAGGGGTTTAGGGGATTTGGATTTAGGGCTTCGACTTTAGTTGCTTTCGGTTTTGGATTTAGGGTTTAAGACTCGAGGATTTTGGATGTAGGGTTTAGGGTTTAGGGATGTTGGATTTTGGGTTTAGGGTTGAGAGGTTTGGGATTTAGGGTTTAGGGTTGAGGGCTTTTGGGTTTTGGGGTTAGGGTTTAGGGTTTGCGGGTTTTGGATTTAGGGTTTAGGGTTGAAGGTTTGGGATTTAGGGTTTAGGGTTTAGGGATTTTAGATTTTGCGTTTAGGGTTGATAGGTTTCGGAATCAGGGTTTACCGTGTTTAGTTATTTTGGATTTTGGGCTTAGGGTTGAGAGGTTTGGGATTTAGGGTTTAGGGTTTAGGGTGTAGGGATTTTGGATTTTGGGTTTAGGGTTGGGAGGTTTGGGATTTAGGGTTTAGGGGTTTTGGATTTAGGGTTAGGGTTTAGGCGTTTTGGGGTTGTGGATTTAGGGTTTAAGGTTTGAGGATTTGGGATTTAGGATTTAGATTTTAGGGATTTGGGATTTGGCGTTTAGGGTTGATAGG